AAGTGCTGCTCTCTAGTGTAGCAAACGAGGAACAATTAATCCTCAGTTGAATGAGTGAACGGAAATGTTCGATGGAGGAAAACTGTAACCCGCGAAAATTCAACTTTTAGACCTTGAAATCAATGGGATTTTGGCCGTTCCTCCGACGGCAACGAGAACCATCCATTCGTCGCCACGGACACTACCAATGCTAAAAGAAATCGATCGCAAAGAGCTCTCCCGAGTGGGCGAGCTCAAAAACGTGTCCATCCAATCGATTTTTTGCATTTGGGTGCAAGTCCATCGGAAAATTTCAAAATTTCCACAGACAGTCCATTTTTGTATAGATGTATCAAATAAATTTGTATACATCAAATCCGAGTGGTGTAAGAAGAATATTCTGCATCTATTTTTTGAAGAAAGAAGCTCTGTTTTCCATCCCCTTAAAAAGAAACTCGGTATCCTTACCAATTTTGAGACATTGCAATAGACTCAGGTTTCAATGCAGAAAATAAATGTCATGTAATTTCCCATTCACTTTTCATTTTTTTTTTTTAGTGAAAATATGTGACTGAATCTGGAAAAAGAGACCTTATCTTCCAGGAGAAAATTGTCCTCGAATTTGGGGACTCATATCAACTTTAATTTTTAATATTTTAGGATCAACCTCATACCAAAATTGCCTCCATTTCTTCCTTCTTCCTCCATACATTTGCATAAAGTTGAAAATTTGCAAGATAAGTTCCCTCTTCATTTATCTTCTGAAGTTTTAAAATAATAGTCTCTGAGAACATCCTCTCAAAGTTGAAAAGAGGTCACTTAAAATTTCTTACAATAACAATGGTAAAGTGTCCCTCAGAAAATACTGTGGAAAATTCACAACATTGTCACATAAAAAGGATACTTTTTCTTCAGTTTTATTTACCATCATTATGTGACAGTCTCGATTTGATTCCTCTACTTGTCACGAAGAAATTAATTTTCAAATGTATTGCATTATTACAGATATTATGCAGTCCCCTTGAGGAAGTTGAATGTATGAATTTTCCACCCAAGTGTATGAAGATAAATCTCAGCACTGAAAAGCACTAATGTGGTTCAGAATATTTTGAAAGAGAATTGTTTGGACTTTAAGCAGTCTTGTGTCCATGATTAGTTCGATATGCTGGCACCTTTTCAGTTGTAAGTTTTTCAACTTCACGTAATAATTTTCCGCACTTGTTAGTAATCATCAAAAAATTTTGCTTGCGGCTTTGTTTCAAACTATTGGTTTTCTGTACAGTTATATATTAAAGAACGTTTGTTTTTAATCTATGTTTGTTTTAAATGTTCTATGAGAAACCTTCCCAAGTTCAAGGTAGGGTCTTCTTGGAAAAATACACATTCTTGATAGCAAGATTTAACTCCAGCAATTCTCTCAAATATTGGGGCCTTAGGAAGCAGCATCTACTAAAGTCTCATAAATATGCCAAATATATCTCCAGAGGAAAGAAAATTTCAAAATGAAATTGTATTCATCTGATATTTTGGAAAATAACTCTAAAAAAGTTGGACATGTGTTTGTTTAAAAATAAAAATTGGCATTTGGTGTTTTATTGACCATCATTGACCCAAAAAGGTCCTCAGAAAGTGAAAAAATTGCATAATTTTAAGTTTTAATTAAAATGTCTTCTCCTCGTAATCTGAAAAAAAAAAAAAAAAAAAAAAAAAAAAAAAAAAAAAAAAAAAACAAGAGAAATATAATAAACAAAAATATGAAGTTTTCCTTTAACAACCTAACTTGCCGTAGAAACAGGTTTTAATATTTGTTCTTAAAATGTTCTGGGAAAACTGAACCTTTTTTCCTTTATTCTTCGGGATCAACTTAGGCTATGAAAGTCTCAGCCGCTCAGAGCTCAGTTTTGAGCTATTTTTAAGATGCAAGCAGTAGATAGGCAGTCTGATTCTATATTATTTTAAGTCTAACTTTGAATCATCCTCTATACCCAATAAATAAATAAAAATAAATGAATAAAACAATAGCACATTTCTCAGAAAAGTGCTAAAGTAAAAGAAGTCCAGTTCCTCATTCAGATACTTTGATCCCAGGGTAGAAAATTGGAAACTTATACATGTTTGTAAAGACTTTTCTCCTTGTCCAATGTGGAGGCTTCAAGAGGGTCCATAATTTGCATCACCAGCCAATGAGAGTGCTAGAAAAAGCATCAATGAAGAACCTTGAAGCCTTTAAACTCTGTGGAAAGAGCCTTTAAGTGGTTTGTAGGATTGGCATTCACCAAATTAAACTTTACCGTCACAATGGAACAGTAATGTTGAGCTGATGGTAAACAAAGTTGCTCAAAGCAATGTAGAACAGCTCCGGAGCCACTAGAAAGTTTGAGGTTCTGCACCCTCTAATTTTTTAATGAAAAAAAAATGTATTCCTCGTAGAACACGGTAAACAGGAAGGATAACAAAAACTAACTGATTCAAAAGGTTTATCATTTTATTAATTTTTACTTTTCATTTCCTTCTTAATCTTTTTTTGTTATTTACTTATATTCGGTAAAAATATATACAATACAGGCAGGGAGGTATCTTGAATATTTAGTTTAAGTACAAAAATTAAAATAAGAAAGTATTTTATTTACATAATGTATACATTTTATAAAGTTGATGAATAATATCAATCAACGAATACATATATTTGACATTTTTCAAAAATTAGATGAGTTTTCAATGTATAATTGATAGAAAGGGATTTCAAGACTCAGACTTACTTAGACTTAATTTGGACAGAGCTGATAAAAGAGATAGGAACTGGAAACATGAGGAAAATAAGCATCGATAAGAGGTAATATGTAAAAAACATATTGTGATCATTGTTCAACAAATTTAACTTCATTTTTCATTAGTGATTTTCTTTTTATTTTATTTTATTTTTTTTATTTTTTTGGCCTCCAGTTTTTTTAGGGTGTTCAGTGATCTTATCCTTCTTTGATATCAAGCCATACCTTATCTCTGTATAGGAGATCTTTAAAAATCCGACTCTGATTCTGGAAATGAATCCTCCAAAAATAAGTATCTAAATAGAGAAAGTGACTTGTGTCCCATCGTGAGTCCCAAAACTTAAGAACTAAATACAGTCTATGATTGTATCATTTAAGTATGTAGGTATCAGTGGCATGCGGTAGGTTTGGTGATCAGGGAAGCAAAAGCAACCTCCATCCTTCATTATCTGGAAGACCTGGTAGGATTCCATACCCCCAAGGATGAAAAGGGGGTCGCCAGTGCATATCCAGACTGAATGCCACCGCTAAGTATAGCTTGTGTATGTACACGTAACAACATTTTTGGGGTAAAAATCTTCCACAAATGTACGTATCTAACCTGCTAAATTCATAAAAACTAACTTATCTATTCAAAGACACAGCCATCAAATAATATTTGAAAATAATTAATGTTAAAACGTTTGAACGAGGAGCCTAGTTTTTAATTTGAACCTTTGAGACGTTTGTTGTGCCGGTAGCATTGCCATTTTTCAAAATACTGCAAAGACCATTGCTGCCCCTCGAGTCTGATCCAGACTTTAAATCTCCTGTTCGCTTTGAATTGAAATTAAAGGTTACGGAATTCTTGTTTGAATCGCAACTATTCTTTGAGTTCATACGTAAATTAGCCTGGCCGTTTTTCAGAGCTGATTTGTCCAGAACAAAAAAATTTGAATGTCCGTTGTGTATGTTTGACGTTCCATTGACATTACAAAACCTATCAGATAATTCTTCAGTCTTTAAACACTTATTTTTATGAGGGAAAAGGTAAAATGGATTTTGATTAGATTTACAGTTTGGTGTGGAGTCAAATGTAGATTTTGGCTGTTGTGGGTTGATTGAAATGGTGACTTTGTTTCCATTCACAAAGCTTGATGTAGAGCCGTTTCCTATCTCCGGATCACTGACCTGTAGGAGAAAGAGCAAGATTAGGTAAATATGAAGAGTGAAAAGCAAATGAATCTAAATCACTTGAAAAATGTCCTTATGGCAGGAAAATGTACAAATCAATTAGCGATTATTTGAAAAAGTGTAATTTCCTGTAAGAAATGGGAACTCTCACTGACAAGAGAATAGCTCAGTTTTTACTAAAGTTTTTGCTTCAGCTTTATTAATCAAAAAGCAATTTTTATACTCTCATTACTTTTGAAGCGGTTTAAGTTGGTAGTATTATACAGTGATGGCAGAGAGGAAATTTTACTGACAGGAATATATAAGTTGCTACAGAATAAGTACCTATGACTCGGAAGCAAGTAAGGACTGATTTAAACAAGGAGGAATCAAAGTCTTAGTGTGGAATATAATGAGTTAGGAGGAATTTTGAACTTAGCAAGTCGCATATTTCCTTTTATCCTTTTGAAAATTCACAGATTTGAATTTTTTAAAGTGAGTTGTTGCTATAAAGTACTCACAAGGTACACTCTACTACAGGTATGGACAAATGGCGTGTCATGGTGGCAGCGCTGAGAATATAGGCCATTGAGTGACATCGCAAGTCGTACCGTCTTGGCCGTGCAGTTCAAAATGAGGTTCTGGCAGATCTGGTAGCTTCAATAAGCTATCAGATGAATTTAAAAAATTGATGAAACTCAAAATAACGAAAAACTAAACTAAGAGCACGAAGAAATAACACGAAATTGACGAGACCCACTCTCAAAACAGAAAGTAAATAAGTTTTCAGTATGGCGTCGCAGTCGTACCATTGGACGCTGTCAAATCTATGCGTTTTGACAACTTTCTAAAATTCCATTTGTCCATACCTGTAGTAGAGTGTACCTTGAAAGGTACTCAGCAAGTGAAAATAAGCATCGAATTTTTACTTTAACATTGAGTTCCATGGAGGAATAAAACTTCAAAGTCAAACACTATCTCACTATTGAGATAGCCCTATCGTCCAGCTCCATCTTTTTCCACTTTTTTGTTTCCTTAGCTTAGTTTCTTTTATTTTCCCCCTCATTTTCATTCTTTCTCCAAAGCAAGCCACCATGATTATTTTACAAATAAATTTATGGTCCTTACCTCATGCTTCAGGAATCTTTTATTCAAATTAGATCGTGCTAAGGTTTGGCAAAGTTCTGTTTGAAGTCTCGAGGTTGGTTCAGTTCCGGGAGGGAAGTCTGTGACAGTTTCTCCTGATTTTGGAAGAAATTCCATTCGTGATGGTTGTTTCTTTGGAGCAGCAGACGGGTACTCCCTGATTGTCACAGCAGGTTTACCATTCAAATTGGAACTAGATCTTGGACTGAAAAGAGAGGTGATAGATTATAAATATGTAAAGTATTAGTATTACGCCATATAGTTCAGCCAAAAATAGAAGAAAATTTACTTAATTGCAGCTTTCCAATTAGAATATATAACTTGGATACTTAAGTAATCTCAGATGACTTATCACCTCACTTGAAATTTTCCTAATATAACATGATACAGAAATGTCATTTTTAAATAAAATCTTGCCTATAATAATTAAGGCATTGATTGCTTTTTTTGAAGATTTTTAGATTTTTGAGTCGTTATATTTTTCTTACGTTGCAAGATATTTTGACCAATTTGTTTCCATTTTATAGAGGCTTATTACAGCCACTATTCTGCAAAAAAAATTGAAATTTGAGGCGGTAGATTTAAAGGGGTGGGGCTCAAAATTGGAAGGAGGTCAAATCTTGGCCACCCGATAACTGGAGTTAAAATGAACATTTTAACTTAAAATTTTTATGGGTGGTAATTTTTTACTTACTTACATTCTGCCTGTCGTGAATTTTACCCCCCCCCCCCCAAAAAAAAAAAAAAAAAAAAAAAAAAAAAAAAAAAAAAACGCCGGAAAGCATTTCCTAAAAAGAACATTTTAACAGTTTTTTCAAGAACCGTCTTTTGAAATTTACGAGTTTTGTAAAAAAAAATTCAACAGTCGTCGTTACTACGGAAAGTGCCTTCTTTCCTTCTTAAAATCTACTCAAAGTCTACAAAAAACTCGTAATACTGCGAGGTGGCATTCCTGTCAATGATCGTGAGAAGGAAACCCATTTTCTATGTACACATAGGAAACTCCCATACCTACAGGGTGTTTCAGACCACCTGTACCAGGTCTTTTTCTCGGTTGTTTTAGGTCGCACGAAGTCGGAGACCACGGGGTTGAATAGGGAATTGACCCCAAGGAATCCGAATTTTGTGGTCCCGAAACCCCCCACCCCCCCTTGGGGGGTAAAGGGGGGGTCACGATGCTAAAAGTCACGGTTCCCGACCGAATTACGGATCGATCGCATCAGAATTGAAAAGCACGGAAAATTTCACGTGGAATTGACCCCTAAAAATCCAAAATCGGACCATTCAAGGCCCAAAAATGATCCCCTAAAGAGGGGGACAGTATACCCCCCTCCATAATTTCTCTTTGGTCTCAAAATTGACGTAAATTCTCCAGAAAAAGACGGTTTCCCAGGTAATCGACCTCGAGAAATCCAAATTTCGTGGTCCCGAAGCTCCTCCAGCTCCCCCTGGGGGGTAAACGGGGGGCCCAATTTTAAAAATCGGGGCTCCTTTCCGAATCGCAAATTGATTTCATCCAAATTGAGGAACAGAACACATTTGCATCTTAAGTGACTCCTAAGAGTTCTAATAGACCCCCCTGAACGGCAGAAAGTAATCCCCTGAGGAAGGGGGCCTCGCCCCCGCCAAAAATTTCTCAGGATTCCTCTTTGGTCGCAAAATTGACTTCGATTCTTCAGAAAAAGACAGTTTCCCATGTAATCGACCTCGAGGACTCTAAATGTCATATTCCCTGAGCTCCTTGGGGTCGATTACATCGGAGACCGTCTTTTTCTGGAGAATCGACGTCAATTTTGCGACCAAAGAAGAATCCTGAGAAATTTTTGGCGGGGGCGAGGCCCCCTTCCTCAGGGGATTACTTTCTGCCGTTCAGGGGGGTCTATTAGAACTCTTAGGAGTCACTTAAGATGTAAATGTGTTCCGCTCCTCAATTTGGATGCAATCAATTTGCGATTCGGAAAGGAGCCCCGATTTTTAAAATTGGGCCCCCCCCGTTTACCCCCCAAGGGGGGCTGGAGGAGCCTCGGGACCACGAAATTTGGATTTCTCGAGGTCAATTCGGTCGGGAACCGTGACTTTTAGCATCGTGACCCCCCTTTACCCCCCAAGGGAGGGTGGGGGGTTTCGGGACCACAAAATTCGGATTCCTTGGGGTCAATTCCCTATTCAACCCCGTGGTCTCCGACTTCGTGCGACCTAAAACAACCGAGAAAAAGACCTGGTATGGGTGGTCTGAAATACCCTGTATATGACAAAAGATGTATAATCTGCAGCTAAAATACATGTCGACGGCGTAAGTCCGCAATCACATATCTCGTTTGCGGTGTCTGAAAATATCCGCATGCATGTTATTTTTTTAAAAGAGAACAAATTAGCATCATTCCTTGAAGTTTATGCAGAATTTTCCTCGCACAAAGGAAAAAAAATCACGGCAGTTTTAAAGAATTGCCGTTGAGTAGTTTTCCGTCTGAAAAATAAAGTATGACAGGAAGTCTGCGACGTTGCAAGCCGAGTTATGTGATTACCGACTTACACCGTCGATGTGCTTAAATGGGAAATGCCGCCAGATGACGTCACTCGGCGGTGCATTTTCTCACTTTTAAATCTATTTTTACACTTTTTCCCATATCAGAAAAAAATGATAAAATATACGGTGAAATCAGCTCTTTAAGAACTTTTAGATGAAGCAATAAAAAATTTGCATAACAAATTCTCCGTTGGGACTTGAACTTACCTTACACTAGAATTATTAGAATTGGGCACAATTTTGACTGTAGGCACAAAGTAGGTGGGCGGGGGTTTGGGTCTGACGGTAGCCGGGCTGGTGAGCTTAAAGGACTCGATGGACTGCATTTCGACGAGGTCCGAGTTTTTGCCGTTGTGGAGCTTGGCCGTCGCCGGCGCCGTCGGAGGGGCAGCATGGACATGGGACCTCCTGCGGGCCTCCTCCTTGGTCGAGACGATGCTCAGCGAGTCGTAGTCCGGGGTCGGGCAGTCGGGTGGGGTCGGCGGCCCGATGATGTGGTGCGTCGAGGGGATCGTCTCCGATATTGAAAACTCCTTCGAGGAACCCGAAGACGTCTCAGACGGCAGCTGCAAAAAAGGACACCACACCTCGTCAGCTCCAGATCTTAAGAGTATGTTTATCATGGATAAAACAAGTGGTTCAGGTGATTCGACGGCTGCCATTTTTTGTATCAGAGCGAGGTGCGATATATCGCATCAATTCGTTCCATAATTTCAGCTACTTGTCATTTTTTTCGAATTATGAGATCGCACTTTTGTTGTCAAGAGACTAAAGAATTCTTGTACCAAAGACAAAGAAATTCAATGTATTAAAGGCAGGGTTTTCTCAGAGGAAAAATATCGCATTCGAGTGCAGTCTCGATATCAATATCGAATGCGATATTTTTCCTCTAAAAAACCCTGCCTTTAATACATTGAATTTCTTTGTCAAATATATTTGGTACATGAATTCTTTCGTCGCATGACAACAAAAGTGGGATCTCAAAATTCGAAAAAAATGACAAGTACCTAGCCGAAATTATGGGACGAATTGATGCGATATATCGCACGTCGCAGTGACACAAAAAATTGCAACCGTCGAATCACCTTAACCTACAACACCCCAGTCTTTAATAAAGCCCGCATTGTACCTCTTGGTTGAGAGGACTGCATCTGATCGACTTGCAGAATACTTTCTTGTGATAGAGGGGGTTTATAAACATTGACAAGAAAAACTACTCTTGATTCAATTGGACTTTTTGCTTTAATCAAAAGGAAATTCGCCTAAATCAAGAACAAATCAAATTCAAGGAAAAATCGGATTGAATCAAGAGTATTTTTTCTTGTCAATCTGGACTCTAGATCCAAGCGACATTTTTTTCCAGTGTAATGCTCAGTGTGCCGTTTAACTCAAGTAGATAGTCGTTTTTTTCATGAGCGAGAAGTTTGAATTAATGCATCAAAAAACGTTATTATACTGATTAAGAGTTATTTTCAATAATTTTCATTGCGTGAATCGTGTTCTAAGTCAAATTTTGGTTAAGGAACTTATACATCAGAATGCTTAAATTCGCACCTTGGGTGATGGTCCATTGTAGTTGGATCATTTTTCTGTGAGGCAAACTCAAAATTGAACGTATCTCAGCCAAACGGAACTATGTGCATTAAGACATGAGCCCTAAGATCCAGAATACATGCATAACAGGGCTCACGTCATAATGCACTTAGTTCCGTTTGGCAGAAATACGTCCAATTGCTCTTGAGACGAAACGTGGGTCTGGGCCAATTTTGGCGAAAAATGCGGATTTATCGGTGTTCGGCCGCAAACCTCATGCCGGAAGTCAAGATATTTATATCACGTATTTCGCCCCATCCAACTTTTCTACTCATGCGTTAAAGTCTCTAAATCAGCCGAAGAGGGTTTACGTTCTCCTTCATTATCGTGGATATGCAATTTTATCCTCGTGGAAGTCCAAATAGTTGTATCACGTGTTTAACCCCATCCAACTTTTCTACGCATGCGTTAAATTCTCTAAATCTGCCGAGGAGAGTCTACGTTCTCCTTCATTATCATGGATATGCAATTTAAACCTCTTGCAAGTCAAAATAGTGGTACCTATCGCGTTGTTCGCCCCATCCAACTTTTCTACTCTGCGTTAAAATCTCAGAGTCGATTGAAAGGGGATCAAGCTCTTTTTTATTAATGCGAGAAAGTTTCTTTGCTTCATAATTGTGACCAGATCTCTGCCGTAATAGCGAAGAGAGCCTAAAGTTCCAAACTCAAGTTTTGAGAAAATGGGCTCATTAGCGTCTAAACGATAACCTTTCATGAAAAAAGCCTCTGTGCGCTCTGTCAAATTCCCACCAATCATCCGAGAGACACTTGGAAATCGTTCGGATGATTAAAAATCGACCAATCTTCGATTTCAATTATATAAAAAAGGCATTATTCGTTTTCATGTTAGGCTCGTGTTAGGCAAGACAGCCGCAAGTGCTATCTTCTGCATGTTTTTGTGGTTGCGTTTTGGACACACAAAAAACGCATTTTCAGGTTAGAAATTGGCAGAAGAAGGCGCGCGGCACTTTACTTGAAAGCACTGTTTTCATCGGCTTTCAGGAGGAATACTGTCACTTACTGCTGTCTTGCCTGGAACTACGTCATTTTTTGCGCACTTGCGGCTTTCTCACATGTCTCGCTTGGATACAATTTAGATACATTTTGCTGTTTTAGCTATTTCAGCGTCATCATCTAAAAGAGATTTGACGAATTTTGAAGGAAACTCGATTTAGAAAATTTGACACTTACTCCTCTCCTCGCTATCACAGCAGTGTGAACAGCACTGAGAAAAAGCTACGGCTTATAAACCAATTAGTGGTTCATATGGAACATCACTAATGGTAATAAAGGCAACAAATAATAATAGGACATATACCTTAGTGATGGTCTATATGTACCTTAGTATGGTACAAGACACCTTAGTATGGTTCACAGACCGAGAATCATTGATTCAGTTACGATTATTGGTGGTGTTCCATATGAACCGCTAATTGGTTCAGAAAGTCATAGATTTTTCCCCGTGGGAATCTCATTTTCCGGAACTTTGAATTTTGAAGGAAAAAGATGGCGGGAAGCGCCTGCAAAACTGTAGGTACGTCGAAGGCGAAGAGTCAAATCAGGCATTTTGTTAAATGTCTAGGCAAATAGTTAAATATTCTTACTTGGACTGAAATTCTAATGATTTTGCTGACTGTAGACAAAGTAATTCTCTGACCACGTGGAAATGAATTCCCTTTAAATACTTGTTCCATACGATTATAAATACGTGTTTTCTAGTCCTTGTGAATGCAACATCTCAAAACCTGCTGCATTTCGTAAAATAAAAAGTTTTCACAGTTTGAGCGGTTGAAGAATAAATTATGAGGAGCATTTCTGAACGGAAAATAAAATGACATTTTATACTTTAGCGGATTTTTCTTTCAAAATATTGAAAATTAGAGAGGTATTTGTGAAAACATAAAAAACCCATTGAAAATTTTAGTATCTGCCTAGGCATTTGATAAAATGCCTGATTTGACTATTTGCCTCCGACAGGTGTACTTGAATCATGGTACTGTCTCTATGCGAAGATTTTGACGCGGTAAACTTACCGGAGGAGGTGGTGGCGGTGGCTGTGTAGGGAGCCTCGAATCGGTCCGACTCTCGGCACTGGATTCTGCCGTTGTCGACCCGCAAGAGCCCGTGGATCCTCCATTCACGCTTGTCCCATTCTCGTAGTAATGGTACGCACCTTTTGATTCTTCTTTGCCGCGGTTCCTCTCCTGCAACACGCACAAAAATCAACATCCAGTCACTGAATTCCATAACGAGCTCAAGAAACGGACACAGGATACGCTCACGGATGCAAGTGAAATTTCAAAAAGGCCCCAATAATTTCCGCAAAATTTGAAATTTCTCAATTTTTTTGGGAATGAATAATTAAATCTTTAAAAGTCTGGATAGCTTTTCAGACGGTCTCTGCGTTGATGCATCCTTTATTTTTTAAACGGAAAATTATACTCAACGGCAATTCTTTAAAACTGCCTTGATATTCCTTCTCTGTGCGAAGAAAATTCTGCATCAACTTCAAGGGACGATGTCAATTTGTTCTCCTTCAAAAGTATAACACAGAGGCGGAGATTTTCAGCCACCGTAAACGAGATATCGACGGTGAAACTACCAAACCACGTATCTCGTTTGCGGTGTTTAAAAATCTACGCTCACATTTTATTTTTCTGAAGTAGACCAAATCAATATCATTCCTTGAAATTTTCACAGAATTTTCTCCGCACGAAGAGGAAAAATCACAGAAATCAAGACTGGACGTTTAGTAGTTTTTCATTTAAAAAATAAAGTATGACAGGAAGTCTGCGACGTCGCAAACCGAGATACGTGGTTTGGTAGTTTCACCGTCGATATGTGATTGTGGACTTATGCCGTCGATATGTAATCCTGATGAGGTGCTATACACGGAGAAAGCACAAAAGGGAGCTCAGAGAGGAATTAAGCCCCGAGGCCTCCAAACCAAACGGACCAAGCCGCCCGGGGCGCACTATGGTCCAAAACTCAAGAATAGGGAGAAATAAGTCGGATAATGACTGAAAGATCACGAAAGTTTCGTAACTGATGTTTTTTTGAGTCGCTAATTTCGAATTTGATGTCAAATTGCTTACATTTTAACACCCTGACTCTAGTAACTGTGGGCAAGTTTATGACACGCTGCGGCGCGGCGTGCCGCCGCTGCCAGCTCGAAACGCGCACTGACGCCTACAAACCTAAAGGGATACTTCAAGCATTGCGCAATGCGTGTGGTAGCCCCTTGGGTTTGTAAGCGTCAGTGCGTGCTTCGCGCTGGTAGCACGCCGCGGCGCCCCCGACGCGGGCGGTTGGTAAACGATTTCCTCCGGGGAGAGCTTCCTGGCGAAGAAACTCGTGTATCATGTAATTTTTTTTTTTAAATTTATTTCGATTTTGCGTTTGTTTTCTTTTTCTTTCACCCTTTTGCAAAAACAAAAACTTTGAATCGATTAAATTCTCACGCAAGAAAAGTTTACCTACGCAAGACAGTTCGCGGGATTATTTGTTTAATTAGGTTAGGTCTCTCTTCGGGCAAACCTGACTGCCGGCCGCCAAGAAAAACTGCCGGTACACGCGGTACATCTGAAAACTCGTGTTACAAACTACGCAGATTACGCGCTAGGGAGTGGATTCCAGATTTTTTTGATGCCCCCAAAGTGATTTTTGATGAAACTTGCGGGAAGAAAGTGTATTGAAATTGACTGTATCTCTTGAGTGCAGACCCATTGAAAATACGAGAAAAAGTCTATCGTGTTTTATTCTGATCTTCCAGCTGGATTGTACTTAAGTATATCGGTAATAACAATTCAGCCAGTCTTGGCGATAAGAACCCTGGGCTGTGAACAAAAAAAATTCTCTGCGGCAGGTGCGTATGAATGACTTAATCTTTGCCAGAGTTAATTTCCTGGTTTTCACTACGAACTTTTTATCACCTTGGCAAACTCAGCGAGAGTTGAATATATCGGATAGAAACACGTCTAGTTACGAGTATAATAGAAGGGCTATCTTCTTTTGATATTGGGAATCATACGTAACAATGAACTTTTCTAAACGTTGACTGATGTTGTAACTGGCTGAGTGATCAGAAAGTGACGAATTTGCTTATTTAAAAGGTGCGAATCGCTTGCAATTTCTCGCTAGACGAAGAGTCTTTATCAACCAGCTTAAAAGATAAAATTTATTTTCCACAAGCGCCTTAGGCGTAATGCATTATGCGTCACTCTTCTGATTTTATTTTGTAAAGAGTCTTTTAAGAAAAAGAGATTCTGAAAAAAACAAACAAATGTTGAGGCAAACGAGCCTCCCTACTACGATGAGACGAGTGTTATGATTTAATGTTGACATTATTAGTGCAGGTTTCTTCTAAAATTTCGTTTAAGTAAAATTAAGGTGAGCCTAACAAAATTTTGCTTAGGTGTCGCTTTAGATTAGGAACTCAAGATTCTTTTACTTACTTTTTTTTATCAAAACTAAAAGTTCAGACTATAAGTTCTAACATTACAGAATACAATTTTTTTTCAAGCCTATACGCTTGTAAACCACGTATATTGAATGCTACATTTCAAAATCTTCGACTTTATTTTATTTGCAGAGAAGAGACAAGCAAACTTCACAACTTGAAATTTTTTACAATTTGCCTATCTCAACAGATAAGAATTGTAGAAATGTCCAAGAAATGACTTAAATTGAATTGTTTTTCAACGATAAATCAAGAATTACGGGAAGTTTACAAAGTCACCATCCAAGATAAGCGATTTTCGAGCTTAGCCATTGATTTGGCTTTTATACTGAAATGATCAACTTTTACCTTAAATTGTATTTCCTTACACTCTTTTAAAAGCTCTCACAAATCCTATACTTAATCCCTGTACTCTCTTCCTCGCTTCTAAAAACAGGTAAATCATCCTCGTTTTCACGTCCTAATGCACTGTTCTGTGATTATCTTATTTTTCATTTTTTCCCTCGTGGAATATTGTGTACCTACCTAATCATTATTTTTAAAACAAATAATGAAATGAGTCTTTCCTCATCTTATGCCATCAAACTCAACTGCATTACCGGAATGCTCTCCTCTACGCTCAACTGCTCTATCTACGTCTATTCTTGATTACTGACTCAGACTAGATAATAACGAAGGTAAACACGAACACGCGGCAAGCAAACAAACAAAGAAAGTATATTCAACATTTTCCGGAGAATGGTATAAGTTGATTGTTTGCATAAACAGACGACCACACATTGGGCAGATCCGACAGAAAATCTTTCTCCTACTTCATACCTGTTTTCTTCAATACGCGAATATTGAATATTATGAATGAGCGATCTATTAACGACTTAAATTTCTAGCTGAATAAGTTTAGGTTTTTTGATTTCAGAGCACATCCGTCGAAATTCATAATTATGCGTAATTCGGGCGAGCTGAATGCAGCTTGTCTTAAAAAGTGAACCTATGTTAAAAAAGTACAGCATGTGCTTTGTACAGAAAAAATAAGCAAACCAAACACAGTTTCAACGAAGAAAGTTAACATCTGTAACATTCAAAAAATTGAGAGGCTTGGATTCCGAGGTGCATAAGTGTAGTTTTTGCTATTTCAAGAATTGCGTGTTTGAAGTTTCGAAATTACATAGATCCTTTACGGCGGAAAGAAAGTTCGAACCGGCTTTTTGATACTTAAAAATTGGAATCTGGAAGCGAATTTTTCACAAAATATGCATTAAGACTAGCTTTACTTGATCACTAATACCTCGATTTTTTAAAAAAACTGCACTTATGCGCCTTGTCCTCCAAGCCTCTCAAATATAGGAAGATAGTTGCAACTCGTGAATAAGAAGAAATCCATCCCCTTACCGACCAAAATTCGAAACACATTTTCCGTGGAGTTGTTACTTAAACGACACTACTCTTACAGTAATACAAACTTCAAAAAAAAAAAGAATTTAATTTTAGATTCTTTAGTAAACTATCGGTCCGAAGTGCAAATTACGTGTATCGTCACGTTCAGTAATGGCGGAGGGACGGTGAGTTGGTGTACACAAATCATCAAGGAAGTTCAATCGCATTATCATGTGACCACTCAAGATTTATTTTTCTCTCTTTCTTTCTTTTTTTCTTTCTTTTTCCATGCTCATCTGATAGGTTTGGTCTGTGGTATCTCAGGAAACAAGAACGTAAAATAAGTCAACCTAAATTGCTCGCTTGAATTAAGCAAAGTTTCGCATGCATTGTAATCAGGCAATTTTGGGTCCTGAGCATGGCAGATGAGCATTTTTTTTTCGGGTTTTCTCGAAGCTATACTATCTCAAAGAACTAGAAACCTCAAACAGCTATAGGTCCAGTTTTACATGAACTTTGGGCGTTTGTATGCCTAAAATGTCCATAGACCGAGTCTCTCTGACCCGGTTTTGATAACTGAAGGTTGCTCGGAGGCCCAATTGACACGTGGTTCACACTGTTATTGAGGGAGGTTTAAGAAAGCCCTCAATAAAACACTACAAAACGGACAATTTTTGCCAACCTCGAGTGAAATTGAGCGGAATAACTTTGAAAATGGATCCTTGCAACTTGCAAGGGATTACAATGATTTCCCGATACAAAAAGTACAAAACACCTACAATCCTCAATTAATTAATTCGTATTAACTAATGCTGTTACACATACAAGAAAAAAATTCTACAATTTTGACAAACTCGAAGGTAAGTTTGGACCTACTACCTTGCATTGTTAAAACTCGACACGGTACATTTTCTTTCGAATTTTGTATTTTTTGTAATGGTAAATCATTGAGTTCCTTTACAAGGACCTATTTCCAAACTTATACTGCTATATTTCAGACGAGGTTGGCAAAATTTGTCCCCTTTATTACGCTGTGTATTTTCAGGACTACCTTAAACCGTGGCGTGCTTTGCGATGTATCGATTGAGCTGCTATCTAGAGCTATATGGAAAATGACCGATAAAAAGGGTGTTCGCAAAAAACACCTTAGTAATAGAATTTTTACCATTGCTCTAAATGGGGGAAATATCGATAATCGCTCATTTACACCTCGCCACTGACCTTGCACCTCCCTGATTATCAGTGTTTGCCAAATGGAGCCTCGTAAGGAAATGAGATGTTTAAAGTTACGACCATTCATTTTAGTTTCTATGAAATAAGGCCCCCTATCCTGCGAACGGAAGGTCACATATTATGTGCTCACGAATTAAA